TGTGAAACAACCAGTGCCAATCCATCTCAAATTACAGTATTAGTGAAAGATCTTTAAACGAACTGTCCAGACAATTGAGCAATTGGGCAATTGCACAACTGCCATTGATTTGTAAGGAAGGGGAAGCCCGTCGTGACCGAGATTGATTGTCCCTTGCAATAATCCTAGACATTTCTTTCACAAGTATACCCTAGACTTCTTACTTGACAAGCTGATGTTCTCTCCGCAATCGTGTAGCTGTTTGGAATCTTCGTGAATCCGTAAGAGACAGCGAGAAGTGCAGCGATGAGGAGCGTTGAGTACGACTGAAAGTTCTATACGTTCTAAATGTAATTTCAGCTTTCAATTCACAGGTAGCTCCTAGAATCGCTTTAAAGAGTGTTATTTGGCGCTGAACTTGACCAGAGGCTTTGGCCAACTCCCTGGCTCAGAGTCTGTAACAAACTGAAAACAGCTGAAGTACAGCTGAAGTACGACTGACAGTACAGCTGAAAGTACAGCTGAAAGTACAGCTGAAAGTACAGCTGAAAGTACAGCTGAAGTACAGCTGAGTACGACGACAGTACAGCTGAAAGTACAGCTGAAAGTACAGCTGAAGTACAGCTGAAAGTACAGCTGAAAGTACAGCTGGTACGACTGACAGTACAGCTGAAAGTACAGCTGAAAGTACAGCTAAAAGTACAGCTGAAGTACAGCTGAGTACAGCTGAAGTACAGCTGAAAGTACAGCTGAAGTACAGCTGAAAGTACAGCTGAAAGTACAGCTGAGTACGACTGACAGTACAGCTGAAGGTACAGCTGAAAGTACAGCTAAAAGTACAGCTAAAAGTACAGCTGAAAGTACAGCTGAAAGTACAGCTGAAAGTACAGCTGAAAGTACGACTAAAACTACAGCTGAAGTACAACTGAAAGTACGACTGCCCTAGCTCTTGATATGAGGCTGAATGAGCTGTAAACTGTAGCTAGAAGCTTTGGATTTAAATCTAATCTAAAGAATCGAGAGATCTTCAAAAACATACCATAGATCCGGACTCTTTGAATAAATAAACTAGCGAAGAGAAAGTTTTAGAGTTTAAAATATGAAACAGATCAACGAACTCACTGCATAATCTTGGCCATAAATTTGGGTAATTTGTGACCTTTAACAACTGTCCACGTTGTAAAAGTTGTAAAAAGTTTTTGGGCAAAAAAAGCAGTCTTCTTCTTTATCGTGTTCACCAAATTGCTGACCATTTATGGCCATCAAAAATCGGCTTTTTCGAGTTCGAGATTCAAATTGAAATCATCGACACAAATCTATAAAATTCAAAATAATAAGCTTTAGAAATACTGGCTTTTTTTTAAACATCAAACTCTTTATTTCTTTGTCTTTAACATCACGAAAAAGTCGATTTTTGATGGCCATAAATGGTCAGCAATTTGGTGAACTACGATAAAGAAGAAGACTGCTTTTTTAACATTACATTTTCTATCTATTGATAGATATGAAATGAAAAAAAACAACTGATTTATAGACAATCATTGAAATATTCTCCATTATTTTGAATGAATTGAGCCTATTTTACTGACAGAAGTCTCCCTCTCTCAAAGAAAATACTCGGCTTTAATGCAAAACCAATCTGTCAGCCATTTTTGACATCATCTTTGGAATCAAAGTCTTTCATCGCTAAATCGCTGATCGCTGATCATTACTCCCTCGGAATAAGTAGCAATCAAAGGTGCAAGATCAGGGCTACCAAATGGACACCTCTCATCAGGATCACCTCTCATCCAAGTTTAAAACGATTAGGATCACCCTCATCCAAGTTTAAAACGAATCATCTTCGAAACATGTGCATTATCATGTTGAAGAATGATTTTTCTCTTGGAGCTCTTTCTCTGACAAAGATTTAGCTGAGTTGTTGAGTTAAGTTGAGTTGAGTGTTGTGTCTAGTAGTTGAGTGTTGAGTTAGTTGAGTTGAGTGTTGTGTCTAGTCTAGTTCCAAAAGTGTCTAGTAGACTCTTCCAAATCCCAGAGCACCGAGAGCATAAATCTCAGCATCAACATGAAGCATCAACATGAATCTCAGCATAAATCGAGAGCAATCTCATGCACATTTGGCATCACGTCGTGGCTTTTCCCGGCTTTTCCTGACCTTTCCTGGCTCAGGCTTTTCCCCTCAGCAACCCATTGACTTTCACCGAAAGTCAGCTAGAATCCATTTTCATTCCTTGTCACAATACGGAGTAAAAGCGAGTTGCTTTCACATCGATGGCGAGAGAGATGAGCGGCGCTGATTGAAACGTGTTCACATTTTGATAGTTTTTAACAAGAAAACGGTTTTGATAGTTATTTCAAAAGCGAATCTTTTAATAAGTTTAGTCAAGTTTAAAAAAAATATAAAACATTTATCTTATATTCAAATAAAAGCTAGTCAATTGTGCACAAAGTTAGCATTGACTCGAATGAAATCGTTTCCAATTGAGGTTACCTGAAGATGATTTCTTCGAATTTTCACCCCAAAAGCTTCCTCAAAGTGGAGACTTCCGAGCAAAGGACACACAGAAATCGCACCATCATCACCGACTGAAAAAAGCACTGCTGAAGGCTCATTGGATTCCAATTTTCGTGAATCCTCAATGAATGAATCAAAGGACCAACATGAACCTCTCATGATCTACAAAGAACTTTATTTTCTTTTATATTCTTGGTTTAACCCGTCAATTTGTGGTATTTCCCCCTTGCAGAAAAACTTTTTGTTCTTCTTGTACCGAGGAAACGTCGCTCTGTCAGCATCAACTATATGAACTGAAAAACTACGAGTTATCGAATGTCACTTCTCACTTCTTTTTGACTTCTCCTGATCCAGCCTCCAGCATGAACCTCTCATGATCCAGCCTCCAGCATGAACCTCTCATGATCCAGCCTCCAGCATGAACCTCTCATGATCCAGCCTCCAGCATGAACCTCTCATGATCCAGCCTCCAGCATCAACCTCTCATGATCCAGCCTCCAGCATGAACCTCTCATGATCCAGCCTCCAGCATCAACCTCTCCTGATCCAGCCTCCAGCATCAACCTCTCATGATCCAGCCTCCAGCATCAACCTCTCCTGATCCAGCCTCCATCATCAACCTCTCATGATCCAGCCTCCAGCATCAACCTCTCATGATCTACAGAGAACTTTATTATACATTATGGATTCCAGATCGATCAAAAAAACAGGGAAATCACAAAAATCATTTTGCAAATCGAAATTCGAGTAGTGGAACGGGAAAATATTTCCAAGGTCACAAGGCCGAAAAGAAAAAAAGGAAGAAAAATTCTCACTTCTTTTTATGCAACCGGCCTCTGTCCGAAAAGAAACCGGTCGAAGAGTCGGTTTCAAAAAAAAAGAAAAAAAAGAACAATTTGAAAGTCACATACACCTTTCCATATATCCTTGATGAATTCGTTGATTTTTGGCGTCTCGATTTTCATCATTTTTATCACTGATTTTATGCATTTTAGCAACTTTTATGCAAAAAATAAGTATACTATGGTAAAAATATATAAATTTTCATAATCCGGTGTTAGTTTTTAAAAAAATAGCCCGTTCTCCGACTTAAACCGACTTTCCGACATTTGCAAAAAGTATAAGAACGCTTGGGACACCCTGTACCGTAGTTTGCTTTTTCTAAATCTTCAAATTATCTAAACAATTATAAACAACTATTTCTTTTACCACCAATAAAAAAGAATGTCCGTTAAACAATGGTTCACAGCGCATAAGACCTCTCCCCAAGATGACAAGCTTTACCTGTGCCGTCTCAGAACCTTTTGTCATCTTTGGGGGGGAGGTCTTATGCGCTATGAATTGTTAAGGATCATGGCAACGGATGTTCTCCGTGCGCCTGAGTCAGAACAAGACTTGGTAAAATCCCATGGTCTGAATTCCTGAAGAACATAATTCATAGCGATAAGGCCTCCCCCCAAGATGACAAGCTTTACCAACAATAGTAAATCTTCAAATAGAAGTTTCTCCTGAAAATGAACTGTGAGAATGAAAATGAAACTTGATCAGCTTTTAAGTAAATCAATTGTACTATCTAACAAGAAAGGCTAAACTTTTCAAATAATCCTCTCTAGAAATAACAGTCGATAATAATATGATAACAGTAGACACAAATCGTTTAACAGATTTCCGAGATGAGAATGTCCGTTAAACAATGGTTCACAGCGCATAAGACCTCCCCCCAAGATGACAACAAGCTTCACCTGTGCCGTCTCAGAACCTTTTGTCATCTTTGGGGAGAGGTTATTATCGATTATTATAAAACTATAGAAATTGATTAATCTCACAATCCTTTTTTAGCGCTAAATTTCAGTGTTGCGATATGGGATGATCGCGGTGTTCTCGATTCATTTTCAAGTGAATGTTTTCGTCATGTTATTCGCCACAAAACCCTAACGCTTAGTAATGGGAAAAGCTTTGCAGGGATTTTTCCCGAAACTTCTCAAATCATGGGAAATCTCTACCGTAACCAAATCAAATCAACAATCGGCTAAAGAAAGAGCTTCAAGCTCAAGCTTTACCTGTGCCGTCTCAGAACCTTTTGTCATCTTTGGGGAAGGTCTTATGCGCTATGAATCCTGTTTTTTTTCTAGTTTTTTTTTCGTGATTTGTTGTGATTCGGATTGTGAAAAATTTTGCAATAATTTTGGATTAGAAATCTTTCAAAAAAGAGCACTTAAAACAAAACAAAAACACTTTGACGAGCTTTCTCATCGAAATTCTCATCAAAAAGTTGTTTAGATGCAAATTTTATACAAAAAAAAATAAGTAAAGTATAGTAAAAATATCTGAATTTTCATAATCCGGTGTTAGTTTTTAAAAAAATAGCCCGTTTTCCGACTTAAACCGACTTTCCGACATTTACAAAAAGTATAAGAACTTTTGAGACACCCTGTACCGTAGTTTGCTTTCTCTAAAGCTAATCATTTTCTAATCATCATAAATATCTAATCATTTTTTCAGCTAAATGACGCAAATATGGCTTTGGCAGCCATCCAATCACCCACCCGAGGGCCCCATTCGAGAAGATCAATACAAATGTGCATGTGGGCTAACGGCAAAGGTGAAAGACTCAAAACGAGAAAATCTGTCATAACAGAACGCCTAAGTTCTAACTAAATATAGAGAATTTTAAATAAAAAAGCTCATAAATCTCTCTTTGTTTTAAATCTAGCATTTTAAGTTTTGTTTTGACTTTACAAAGCAAATTTTGATCACAATCGGCTGAAAGTCTTTTGGTTGAAAGTCTTTTGGTTGAAAGTCTTTCGGTTGAGAGTCTTTCGGTTGAAAGTCTTTCGGTTGAGAGTCTTTCGGTTGAAAGTCTTTCGGCTGAGAGTCTTTCGGCTGAGAGTCTTTCGGCTGAGAGTCTTTCGGTTGAAAGTCTTTCGGTTGAAAAGTCTTTCGGTTGAGAGTCTTTCGTCTGAGAAACACAATCGTCTACGAAAGATTGACAATTAAAATTGAGTTCAGAAAGATCTTTGCTAATACTTTGCTAAATTCTTTGCTCCTAAATCTCCTATAAAAGCTAATTTCCAGTTCGGTTTCACTGTGTTCACCATCTTCGATATTGTCCTTTTGGTCTTCTCGATCATCGGCCTATTCATTGTTCCGTTTCTTTTGGTTTGTAAAAAGCAATGACAAGTAAAAGAAAAAGTTTAAAAATAAAGCAAGTAGCAGAAGCAAGTCTTTAGGTTTCTAGCAAGTAAGTCTAGCAGAAATCTATCTTGTGACATCCAGCTAGCTTGCCTATCATTTGTGGGAGTCGAATCTTTGATCCTTGGATCTCTGGTTGACACTCTACCAATTGACCCATCCAGAATTCCCAAACTTTTCAGAGAAGAGCTAACATCCCTGGAAATAGACTAATGACTTCCAGAAAAGCTCGTGAAATTGAATCCTCATCTTCTAGGCTTTTCAATTCCCCCTTGCCATCGGGATGATCGTTCTGGCTGTGATGTCGATTAAAACTCTTCGGCCATTCTTCATGCAAATCTACGGAATCATCTATGTGAGCTCTAGATAACTGAAATGAAATTAAAGTTTTAACTTTTAGATAATCGAGATGGTTTATTTGTTCATCGCTTTGGCGGCTATGTTCTTCCTCTTTGTTTTGACTGGATTCCTGTAAGTTTAGTTCGTGTTTTTCGATGGTAATAGGAATAAGAATCTGACGTGTGACATCCAGCTAGATGATTGATCTTTTGTAAAAGTCAATTGACTCTTGGCTTCCCGTGTCTGGCACTCTCCCAAGGGCGCGAATGACCGCGCCCCCCCCCCACCCCAGGAAGAGGGGGCCCCCCCCACCCACCCCCCATGAGTTCTCCGGCCCCCACCGTCCCCGACTCGACCATTGATCCATTCAAACTTTCCATATAGCGGTGAAATAGAAGGAGTCAAACCTGTGACATCCAACTAGATGCTCGATCTCTTGTAAAAGTCTATTGACTTTTGGCTTTCCAGTCTAGCACTCTACCAATTGATCCATTCAGAGACTCGACCATTGATCCATTCAAACTTTCCATATAGCGGTGAAATAAAAGGAGTCAAACCTGTAGCATCCAACTAGATGATTGATTATTTATTAAACCCTGGCAATCAAAAGGAGATCGAAAATAAAAAGCTTACAGTTTGCTGTTTGTCAAAGTGCAAACTTCCGAGGAAAGGACAAACAAAAATATCACCGTGATCACCTCGTTTGGTGAGTCCTCACTCAAGGATTTCATTTTATTAAACCTTTTTCTTCAGTGGTCGCCATTCTCTCTGTTCTCACCGCTATTTTGGCTCTTTGGCGGTGCAAAGTGAGCTGGGAGTTTTACAAATATGTTAGGCGAGTTTTCTCAGATCTTATTCACTTTATCTTTCTAATTGGATATCACAATAGCAAAAAAACTTTTGAAAACATTTACATTTTCATTTTGATATTTTTAGAGACCGCCAGCTGGCCATTGAAAAGCAACCAAGCAACATTGGATTCAATCAAGTGGCTTAATAATAGAATGTAATAAATGATGTATATAAAAAACTAGCTCACAAATAAACAATGTTTTATTTAGCTTATTTATTAAATATTGTGTCTGCTACGGGTTTTTGGCTTGATCTGAAGCTAAGGGAAAGCACTAAGGGGAAGATCTGAAGGAAGCTAAGGGAAGATCTGAAGGAAGCTAAGGGGAAGATCTGAAGGAAGCTAAGGGGAAGATCTGAAGGAAGCTAAGGGGAAGATCTGAAGGAAGCTAAGGGAAGACTGAAGGAAGCGGGGCTGAAGGGCTAAGGGGAGACGAAGGAGCAAGGGGGCGAAGGAGCAAGGAGCGAAGGAGCAAGGGGGCGAGGGCGGAGCGAGGAGCAAGGGGAGCTGGCAAGGGGAGCTGAAGGAAGCAAGGGAGACGAAGGAGCAAGGGGAGACGAAGGAGCAAGGGAAGACGAAGGAGCAAGGGAGCGAAGGAGCAAGGGAAGACGAGGAGCAAGGGAAGACGAAGGGCAAGGGGAGACGAGGAGCAAGGGAGACTGAAGGAAGCTAAGGGAAGACGAAGGAAGCAGGGGAGACTGAAGGAGCAAGGGAGACTGAAGGAGCAAGGAGACGGGAGCTAAGGGAAGACGAAGGAGCTAGGAGACGAGGAGCTAAGGAAGACTGGCTAAGGGGAGACGAAGGAGCAAGGGAGCGGAGGGGAAGCGAGGGCAAGGGAGCTGAAGGAGCAAGGGGAGCGGCTAAGGGGAGACGAAGGAGCAAGGGAGACGAGGAGCAAGGGAGACGGCAGGGGAGCTGAGGGCAGGGGCGAGCTAAGGGGAGACTGAAGGAGCTAAGGGAAGACTGAAGGAGCTAGGGGGACTGAAGGAGCTAGGGGAAGATCGGGAGCAAGGGGAAGATCTGAAGGAAGCGGGGGCTGAAGCTAAGGGGAAGATCTGAAGGAAGCTAATGGGAAGCACAAGCTAAGGGGAAGCACTTTTAAGGAAAGCTGTTCGAGTCTAAACGCTGCCATGATCCTTAACAAAAATTTCTGCTTTTTATGACCCCTATAAACGTTGTGTGCTAGAAAGGGGGCGAAAATTGTTTAGAATCGACAAAGAATTGTCGATTCTAAACAATTTTTACACATTTAAGCACAAAGTATTCTTTAAACACACAAAGTATTCTTTGCAATACATCAATTTCCCTAATTCTCCTTTAAAAGCACACTAGTAATTCGTTATTCAAAGCAAATTAGTTTTGATATTAAAGTAAAGCTTTTTGTACTTACAAATGTACATTCTTACTTATATTTTTTTTTGCACTTACATTACTTACATACATTTTTTGATAGCTAGATACAGGTTGGGGGTTTTTTTCGTTACATTTGAAGTCCGTTAAAGTATTGATGAAGCTGGCACAATGAATCGATTGAAGTCATTCATTTGATTGAGTCCAATGGCTGAATCTTTAGGGGGAATTTTTTAGACAGAACTTTAATCATCTACAACTGTATCAAATCAATTAAAATCAATTCAATTCTTATTAAGTACAACAACAATCTATAGCTAAATCTTTAGCTAAACTTTCAGCTTGTAGACTCAAGATGAACTGTAGCTTTAGCTACAGAAGGTAGCTGAACTTTAGCTCTACAAAAAGACTCAATACAGAGAATTACAATAATTAGTTATCTATTACAGGATTCTCATAAAAATCAATTTTTCAACTTTCAATCATTCTCTGTAAAATCCCAGCATCAATTCATCGTTTGAGCTCAACGTCGATTCTCGTTGACTAATATTTTTGATTGCTAGATAAAGGTTGGGATTGTTTGGTCACATTTGAAGTACTGTTAAAGTATTGACGTAGCTGGATCAGTGAATCAATTGAAGTCATTCATTTGATTGAGTCTACCAATTGAAATTGGTTTCATTGAGCTTGGCTTCTTACGCTTCTGCATTCTTCTTACGATCAAAAGTTTAATTATAAAAAAAAACGAATCTAAAACTATTTTCCAGCATTCAAGCATAACTGTGACTCTTCAAAGATCAGTTTTTTGCAGCTTTTTGGCAGAAAAATTGCACAACCATCTCTCCTTTTCGACGCTTTTCCTTTTTGCGCCTTTTCCCTCCATAAATTGTGCAATATTTTCTTGATTGTGCAAGCTTGCCTCTAAGCTTTCTTTCTATATAAGAAATCTTTTTATCTTCTATCAAAATTCTCGATTATTCTCTCCAAAATGTCTTCTATTTTGGTAAATTCTTGTAAATTCTTCTAATTTTTCTTTTTAGGAACAAGATTTGAATGTGGAAATGTGGAAAATCAAGCAGATTATCAAGAATTTAGAGTCAGCAAGGGGGTTGGTCAAAGAAAAAGTCAAAGAAAAGAATTTTAAGACGTTTAAGACGATTTCCGGTCACTATATTCGTTTCAGATTTCAGATCACTCAAAACCCTTTATTGTACCTTAATTGAGCGATTTCTTCTCCAATAGACATTGCCCATTTCAGCAACGGTACCTCAATGATCTCATTGATAATCCCAGGCGGTGATCAAATTGCTTTTTACTCGAAAATGTTGGTGGAAGAGCATGGGACGGCGTCGAATATCAAATCGAGTGCCAATCGAAATTCCGTTCTTTCCGCCATTGCGTCAGTGCAAAATCGACTCAAGCTTTATAATAAAGGTATAAATATCTCGATTTTTACTTTAATCACTTTAGACCACGATAAATAAGGAAGGGATCGTATTAGAACAAAATAGGAATCGTATTGGAACCGTGTTGGAACCGTATTGGAACAAATAAGGAACCGTATTGGAACCGTATTGGAACCTTATTGGAACCGTATTGGAACAAATAGGAGTCGGATTGGAACCGTGTTGGGACGGTTTTGGAATCGTATTGGAACCTTATTGGAACCGTATTGGAACCGTATTGGAATCGTATTGGAACAGTATTGGAACCTTATTGGATCCGTATTGGAACCGTATTGGAACCGTATTGGAACCTTATTGGATCCGTATTGGAACAAATAGGAGTCGGATTGGAACCGTATTGGAACCTTATTGGAACAGTATTGGAACCTTATTGGAACAAAATAGGAATCGTATTGAAACCACAACATCAACCACAACATCTTGTGGTTGCTGTGGAGAGATTAAGACTTTGCTCATTCCGGGCGAATGTTGCACGCTAAAGAAAAACAATTTCCTGTCATCTTGGGGGGAAGTCTTATGCATGATTAACTCGAAAAAACAACCAACCAATTTCTTCGAATTGTGTCCTTGCTTTTGATTCTTTTGATCCTTCACGTCGGCACACAAAACTTCAGCTGAATGAGGGCGGTTGCTAGGTGAATGAAGAAGAGGGCCGAAGAGTCCTTGATATGCGTGGGCAGAGACATTGCAGTGAGCCGATGAATGGTATGGCGAAAGACAGAAAATAAACCCATTGACGATCGCGGTTTGGGTGATCGTCAATCATCAATGGTCGATTTGAACCAAAATCAATGACTAAATCCTACAAAATTTCCAAATATGGCGACTTAAAAGACTCTAGAATCCGAATGAGTCTGAGCTTAGATTTGGTAAAAGAAACTCTATTTTGTTTGCTTTTAGTTCCACCAAATGGCCTTGTTATCTACTGTGGAACAATTCAAAACGAAGGAAAAGAAAAGAAAATCAACATCAATTTTGAACCCTTCAAAATGATCAGCAAATCGTTGTACTGGTGTGGGAATAAGTTTAACACTGATTTGTTGAAAGGTATTGTTTCATGAGTTTCATGAATCAGGCAAATTGATTTGAATTCTTCAATTCTAGAGATGCTCAACGATGACATGAGAATCGGTTTCATCATCATCAACGGAAATGGAGCGCTGTTTGCCACATTGGAAGGCGCAAATCGAGAGATTCTACAGAAATTTGATGTTCATTTACCGAAAAAGCATGGTAGGGAATGCTGAAGGCTTTGGGAATGAGTTTTATTAGGAGAATATCAATTTCAATTCAAATTCAATTTAATTCCAATTTCAATTTCAATTTCAGGACGTGGTGGCCAGTCAGCTCTCCGTTTTGCTCGCCTTCGTGCCGAGAAACGCCATAATTATCTGAGGAAAGTTGCCGAGATTGCTGTGGAAATGTTCATCAAAAATGATCGGGTAAATTCTTGAAATAACATTATCGGATTTGTGTTCAAAAGCCAGTGACAGTCATTCGTTTAAGGCTTGCCTAGATGCCTATCACTTTAAACTAAGCCTAGCTTGGTGCTGGGTTCTGGATCAGATAGCTTATCCGGATTAAACCAGATCTGCTTCAAACATTCTAAACTCGGCTTAGCTATAAGCTTATTCCGGATCAGATCCTTTTCCAATCCAATCTCCTCCACTCCCTATTCAGATCTCTGTCTCCGGTTTAATCCTTGCTGAATCAGCTGATTTCAAGAATGAACCACAAGAAAGAACTTCAAGAATGACAGTCATTGTTTAAGGCTTGCCTAGATGCCTATCACTTTAAACTAAGCCTAGCTTGGTTTTGGGTTCTGGATCAGACAGCTTATCCGGAGCAAACCAGATCTCATTCAAACATTCTAAACTCGACTTAGCTATAAGCTAGCTTATCAGACTCATCCTTTGCCAATCTCCTCCACTCCCTATTCAGATCTCTGTCTCCGGTTTAATCCTTGCTGGATCAGCTGATTTCAAGAACGAACTCGCCATGTCGAATCTCTTTGATCAAGTGAGAAAAGAAAGAAAACAGAAAGATCGATTTAAAAAGACTTCAGAGACTTTTTCAGAGACTTCAATCAAAAGTCATCAAAACAATTGACATCTCATATGCCGGGGAAAACGGTTTGAATGAAGCGATCGAGCTTGCAGCCGGATCACTTGCTAATGTGAAATTCATACAAGAGAAAAGATTGATTCAGGAATATTTCGATGAAATCAGTCGCGTTAGTTCATTGATCAACAGCTTAAAAATAATGATTCTATTTGAGGAAACTGGGAAATTTGTCTACGGAGTCAATCATACCCTGCAAGCACTTGA